TCTTTACAACGGAAGTTAGTGGTTCTTTTCCCCACGGATATATCGACTTTGGACAAAATGAGGTAACTTTCATTCGTTCAATGAACAGCCTTTGGTTCAAAGGAAAGACTAAGATTCAAGGCAGATAAAACAAATGCCCGGAACGGCGAGAATGCCAAATTTGTGACCAGCAGGAAGACGACTTTGAGGTGGAAATCTGCGCATGGTCAAGGAGCTCAAGGGGCCAAACATCATCCTGAAAATATATCCGGATTGTTGGTTATCCACAGGGATTCAGACTGGATATAACCCGATTTATTCAATCGTTTACTTTAGGGGCGGAAATTGTTTCACCTTCGAAACATTTATAACAACAGGACGACGGATATGGCACCAACGTCGGGATAGACGATGCCATGGAAATGTCAGAAAAATCAGTGAAGTCTAGTAGCTACCCCAGACCATGGCGTTAGGCCTTCTAAAGTCAAACGCATCCCAACCGTTGTGCCTATTTCTGAAAAATAACCCGCATGTAACCGAAGAAGAACCAACAGTAGATGTGCTAACTCAAGAAATGTTACCCGAGATTCTGAAATACGTTTTCGACTCGAAAATATTACCTATGTAGAGTTGCAGGATTAATTATCTAGCAGCATACTTCTGAGATATTTTTAAGGCTTCAGAATGCCGGCTTTTGATCAAACTGCTTTTTGGCCGTCTGCTGGAAACTGCACTCAGTAAAAAGGGTTATTTAAGTAGAATGAATTTTCCTCGCTGGTTTTCGATGCCCACACAAATTCAATCATCTTTCATAGAAACCATGCATAAGAATATTTACTCTTTTGCTCAATTCGTAGAAAATTGCCTCTTCAAATTTCATGCCTGACGGAGGGTATGATTCATTTTTTTCAAATAGTTTCTAAATACGAGATTTTAAAGAGAATGAAATGCACGTTCATAAGACATCGTGTCTCCGTATTTACTAATGTTGCTTATGAAGTGTATAATAGGCCTAAGATCTACCGTTAAAGTTCATGAGCCCCAAATTATCTTCTCTTAACGGAGTATAAAAATTTATGATTTACAATTCACGGCAAATCCACAGCTTGTAATTTCGAAACCCTGAATGCAAGTGTAACGGCAGGTCTGTTTCGAAACTAATCGGGCATAGGAAGTTTCTTCAAACAGAATTGTATCCTTCTTTCAGGCATGAAATTGGAAAACGCGATTTTCTGCCAATTGAGCAAAAGAGTAAATATTTTTGTGCATGGTTGCTATGAAATATAATTGAATTTGTATGGGCATCGAAAACCAGCGAGGATAATGCATATCTACTTAAATTATCATTTTTACTGAATGCAGTTTCTTGCAGACGGCAGAAAAGAAGTTAGTTCAAAGGCCGGCATTCCAAAGCCGTCTAAATATCTCAGGACTTTGCTGCACGATATTTAATTTTGCAGCCCTACATAGGTAATATTTTGAGTCGAAAACGCATTTCAGAATTTAGGTTAACATTTCTTGATTTAGCACATCAACTGTATATCGAATCCTTTGCTCAAATCCTCCCTATATGTTAAATCCATCCGACGCAATTTTCTTGCAGTGTACAGGACTAGGTATACGGTCATTAGGATACGAAAGTGGTCATTTTCGAGCCCACATTGCTGCTGGAAACAGTGCGGTCACGCAGCTTTCCACATAACGACCCACCAGATTATTTCATTTCGAACTACGCCGAGGCTATGTCTACTACGTCTTGGAACTGAATCTCACATCCCTGAGGCTCTTTATATCCAAGACTTAAAGCATCATACTGCTTATGTAAATCGGAATTGTATGCTCCATCGTCCTGCACAGAGTTAAAATGGTGGTCAGTGCTGGAAGTTAATACGCCAACCAACAGTCTGTAAATACATATGTGATTTGTATTGAAATCACTTTTCAAACATTCCGGCGTCTGTCTTCTCTTTTGTAAAAGTGCTATACTGTACAATTCCAGGCTTTAAATTGGATACGCCTATGAATCTCTAAAGTCCCCAAATTCATTTAAATGTTGCTAAAGTATAAACAATTACCGAAAGGTCCGAATAAGCTACCATTACCGGTGGACGATGGGCTTTGCTATTCTCGATATTGTTCCTTTGTTTTTTTAATAGGCCCGCGCCCGTAGAAAACTCAAATTTAGCTAAAAAGTTGAACTTCATTTTGAAAAAAACAGTTTGGGTAAGTACAGCTCATCCATTATCTTCTCATTTTCCTCGTATTTGAAATTAATCTTGGGGTCGTTTAAGTCCCTGCCGAGAGGAGTGGCAACGCGTGGCAGCTAGTGACCTGATGTCCGGATATTTCGCTTGCATTACTGTAACCTTTCTCATTGTGATTTATATGTGTCGTCTGGGCTTTGGCAGTTTAAGAATGCAAAATTACCGAAACACTTTCAGCTAGAAGGGTTTCGTTTGTGATAGCGCTCCTCACAATGTCTAGTTTACATATCGTGGTCAAGTTAAATCCTTATTTAGCATTTTCCGGTTTTCTTCACAAGCAAGAAAAATGCCATCTTTTCCCGAGGTAACAGAGATTAGCGTGAGTCCGTTGCGTTCCATCTTCACAAAGATCTACCCTGCACCGTTCGAACTCTCGTTCCACTCTTAGCCGATGAAACCGGTTAAACAGCCTCGCAAGCCTGTACAAGTGCTATGGCTTTTTAACGTTTTTGGGAGAAGGAAGAATGGGGTGTTCATGTTTTTTCATGTTACTCGGACTGTCTGAGACATTTTTAGAAGTCCGAGTCTTACTGTCATTTTACTTTGGGGAGCAATCGCTATCAATTAAATTTTATGCTAAATATATTGAAGTCTCGGCTTGCTTTTTTTACTCAGAAGAGGAAAAGTTTGTACTTTTTATATTTGAAGCGAGCCATTTGTAACCTTCACCTTCATGCGGCGAAGAGGTAGAGGCAATGTATTTCCTTTTCATTTTCTAACTTCACATTATCCAATTTGAAAGCTCACTTGATCATTGTGCAATTGTTGAGTTCAAAATAAACGTAGTTGAAACCTTTCAATTTTAGGCTTATAACGGAAACCCACTGATATACATTAGAAAAATGCAAAAGTGATAGCTTGAGGAATTTAGTACTGACAAATTCATCTAAAGGAATGACAGTACTCAAATACTGTCCTCTTTTAGTTAGCTTCGGAGAATCTGATGGTGTCTCCCTCGGCCTGAAATGTACGTCAATAATCAGCCTTCGGGGCAAAGCATTATTGACAGTAACAAACCCGTTGCTTGTTTAGATGCCAAGGGGGACACTGGCCCTTCTACCTAAGGCCGGCTAGGCTTTGAAAAGCAATGTACATAAGCAAAACCCCAATTATAAGAGCCTCAACCTCTTCAACAGCGTTCATTATCATGGTACGGATCTGCCCCCACCCGTCTTTGTTCTGCTGAAATATGTGCCCTTATCTTTTGCTCGAATCATTTCAAAGTTAATGGGCCATTTAAACTGTGGATTTAAAATGCAGGCAACTACTGGAAGCTGCAACTTGAAAATCCCTCAAAACGGGACAACTTCAGCCGATGTGCGTGTCTTTGAGTTCTAGATGAAACCCCGAAAGGCTCGCTTATCTCTATAGACAGGTTTATTGAGAAATTTAATCTGATAAATGTTTCCAGACAATGTGGACCCCACTCATACACGAGGGAAACTGCGGCAACATCTTCCATGGAAACCAGGTCTTAATAAATTGTTTCACATTTTACAGATAAATGTCTGCACCTCCAAGACAATACGTCTTCCTTTCTCGCTAGGCACATTTTTTTCGTATCGTCAGATTAGTTAACCTGACCATCTGTCAAACAACTGAGATTGCAATTTCGACATTGTACAAACAGCGGTAAATTTTTTGCGAGAGCAGTTTGACCAGATGATTTAACTTGGTGTGCGATGAAGTGATTACTATACCGTACAGGCGCTTTTTCCGACATCCAGGAGCCAAAGTCAACGAATTTACTCATTAGGCCAGCCATTTGCTTATATCAGGCATAACTGAGCTTTGGTTCACCGAGCGCAGCGATAACTAGTAACTGCCTATGAGGGTTGCGACAGACCGAAAACGCAACAAAATTCGACTTGTCGGATTGATTTTTGGCAAAATCTGCAGAAAACCTGGGGTAAAGCACTTCAGGACTTACATTTCACTCGGAAAGGAAAAGAAACACTTTAGAAGTCAATTTTTTTGCAAACGAAGTTCTTCTGGTGTCCTTTATTTCGACAATTTTAAATCGCGACAGAATGTATGCGTGACCGTTTGCGATACCTTCGTCTAAAGGATGGCAACATAATATTGGCGTGTAAAGAAAGGATTCTGCCTTGCCAAAGAAAGTGCTGATCCTTAAATTCACTTCAGGGGTGGAACGAAAACAAACGTGTAAATGAAAGTACGTTTTCAAAAACGGTAACTTCCATAACTGCTAATTTTCGTGGCTGAGTAACCCTGAAGGTACATGCGCAAAACGTTCACTAATGAGTGTTTATGGGTGGTCGCGACAAGATGAATTTACTTTACCCAACACACATAGTTTTTAGCTCTTCGAAGATGACCGCTCAAATTAGGTCAGTTTAGTGTGGTAATACGCCTTCTGAGATTTCACTGAATATTGGGTTTGACGCACACAAAAGATTACCCAACAGCTCATTTATTTATTTCTCATGTTCTTTCAGGAGGCCCACGTATGACGCCCTGAAGACCGGTAACTGCAAGGACATGCTGTAATGGATTAACTTTAAAGATTTGGGTGCATATTTAGCAAAGGATCGGTTAGCAGAAAAGTCGTCAACACATTTTAGACATAAGGCCCTCTAGCACGTGTGTGTGCGCGCTGTACAAATTTTATATCTCTATGCTGCAGCCTGTCTCGTATGTGCAGATTGTAACTATGGATTTCGCTGACATTCTGATGGGACGCCTGTTTCCTTCGATGACAGGTGTTCATGACGATCCGTGTTTGAAGCCTGGGAGCTAGTTTTTATTGAGAAAGCTGACCGCTGGCTGCCTAGAATACATAACGACATCCCGCTTTGGCTCTGCGTCGGAGAATCGTTGTCCTAGAAATATGGTTAGTATGAGTGTGGAAATGCAGGGAATCTTACGTGGTCTGAAGCTAGCCGCTCCACCAAAAACGTTTATCTCATCAGTGGGATTGGCCTTCCAACCAACGGCACGCAAAACGGCACCACGCGCTTCTGATAGAACGGTGTTTGTATAGTTGGAGTTCATTTGGTGTGCTCGCGTTACACCGATCATGATGCGGGCGTCCTCAGTTGTTTTCCCAAATAATGCCGGGTTAGAGGCCTTTGTAATATTAAATAGCAAAGATGAATACCTTTTGCGTACGAAAAATTTGCAAAACTGATGATACGACTACGGCTTAAACAAGAACATTAACCAGCGAAGGTAGGGTCTGTCACCTAATAAAAGTCCTAAGAGGGATAATATTTAACCTTTGTAATGAAAGTATAACAGAGAAGTCAGCATCATCCAGCTGGGATGTCAATTGTCTATGATAGATGTAGTTGTATAAATTGCTTTTGGCAGGACTCTCAGATTGAGTCTTTTGGGATACCTTTCCTTTGTCAAGTCTGCAACCCAGTTTTTAATCCTGACTTCACAAAGTTTTGTTCAGCAAGTTGGCCACCCAGCTTTAACCGTCCTTGACTGGCGGGCCAAACCGGCCAAGCGTGCCCAACGAGTGTGTTCTCATACTCGATAGCCTTTGAACAAATCCCCGACCTCCTTCACCATGTCAAGCAAAATGTCTTATGCAGAAGAGAAATGTAATCCCGTAAGTGGCCCAGAATAGTTCGGGTTGTCTTCCCACTAAACAAAATTAGCAAATCAGAATGGAGTTCGGCAACTGTCTGCAATGACTAAGTAGCTTTATTTAACGGTAACAGTGATTACCCCCTCTCGATGATGGTCAAAAACTGTCGGTTAAGCACACCGTGGACAAGCCGACTGGGATTTATGAACGCTAAACATGTCATCGAAACAACTTGTAAAACAACCGCCCCATTCCAATCGCTAGTTGCAAGGATGACGCTGTCCACTCTTGATGTCTAGACCGTTTGTGGCCAGATTTGGTGATGTAGCCTCACCTGAGGTAAACAATCCCCAGCCGCCTGTAATACGGGACAGGTGGTAAAAGGGTTTTTGGAAGGTGAGGACTGGGAACGCACAGAAGAGGAGTTCAAGAAATTGTATGTAAAATAAAAGCTATTGGGGATGTGCGGTTGCCCTAAGCCCTAACCCATAACCCCAGTCCCCACCCCTGACCCGTGACCCGAACATCTAACTCTGACCCCTAACCCTAAGCCTTAATCCTGGCCCTAGCCCCAACCCTAACCCTGAACCGCAACCGTAAACCCTAACCTAACAGTACTGTATCCATCAAGCGGGACTATATAACCACATCTTATTTCGTTTGTTTTCTTCTACATTTTTCGATTGCAGACTGGCCTAAAAAGACGACACTTCTGACCGCCTGCGAAATGGCCTGCTACAAAGTAAACATTCCGACTCTCAGAGGCCATCTTCTTTATACAGGAACAACTAAAGTAGGCTGGCGCCTGATTCAACTTTTCCTCTAGAAAGAGCGTTAAAACAGGATGAAGGGACGCCGGAGTCCCCTTTGCCACCGGACTACCTCGATGAAAGCCTTAGGCTGCGCACACCGTCAGCACCAACATTTTAAAAGTATCAACGAAGGAGTCGCACTCTGCTCTCCGGGAAATACAATCTACGCATGATCTACACAGTCAACAGCAGCGACGTTAATAAAACCGCATATGTCTGATTCCAGGGCGTCCACAACCAGCCTATCAAAATCTGCTGAGTCCCCAACTGATTTCCTCAAACAGACACCAACGACGACATCGACCATCCGACTTTCATTTTCAAGGCAGTCAGAGCAGTGCAATAGCTGTCCAGTGTAAAAGCACCGGAAGTAGACGCCATTTCCTTGAATTCTAAAAGTACCCCGCTGCAAAATTTACAGAAAGGCTTTCCGCGTTGTTCCAAGAAATAGGGCTATAAGAACAAAATTCCCAAGCCTTCAGGAATGCCGTCATCGGACGCATCTACAAACTCAATGTAAACTAACAATTCCCTGATAGTCACGGAGGCATCCCCCTTCGCAACATCGCGGGCAAAACATGTGCACCTTAACACGCTTCTGGAGCAGGCACTTTTTTCAAAAGCACGTGCTGATTTCAAAAACATTGCTGACCTGCGGCGGAACCCCCTCCGTGACTCGCGAAATGAATGACCCACTCAAATGTTAAGACAACTCCATGATGGCATGATGACTCAAGCCATGGATGACGAGGCAATGTCTGAAACATTCGCGGTGACAAATGGGGCAAAGTAGGGTTGTGTTTTCGCTCCCGGCCGATTCAGTCTCATATTCTCCACCAAACTGATGAATGATTATCCTGGAGGCGGAAGGTTATTGACAACGACTACCGAACCAGCGGAAAACCCTTAGATATACGCCAACTCAGAGCATCTCCGAGAGTACAAAATCCAGCATCCAAGACATCTCGTTCGTGGCTAACTGCGTTCTAAACGACCTGATGGAACGGGAAATGCAGCGGAATGTGGGCCTCTCCGCCTCCGGCTGCTCTAACTTCGGACTAACCCTCAGTTCGGAGAAGACAGTGGTCATGCATCAACCAATACCCAAATTCTGACCGCAACAAACCCTCTATCATTGCTAGTGGAACTTATCTCATGGCAGTGCTCATCTTCGTGTACCTCTGGAATACAAGTTGAAGAAAAGTCTGGATCGACACACGAAATCTTACGTCGGAACTTAAAAGCTAACCAAACATTATACTATCTAAAGCATGATGTTTGAAACCGTCGCGATATCCTACTCAACATCTAAGTTAATGACGCACAGGACAGTTTTTCTGACGTCGCTGCTGTACAGGGCTGAAACATGGCTGTCTCTGAAGGCTTAGCAGAAAGACCCAGCTATTTCCAATTCTGTAGAATGGTAGACGTGAAGTTGAGGTAAAGAATACCCCATACTGTAATCCTGAAAATACGGGTTCCTCAGCATCCCGACATGTTGAGGCAGATGCAAAGAAGATGAAGCAGCCATGAATTCGGCACGGATGTCAATTGCATGCCTGCACACCTATTCGAACTCAGTGTAGCTACGGGTGTTTGCAGGCAAATCAAGCGAGGGACTCACCAAAAGAACACCTTGAAGTCCTAATATAAGCATTCGCAAATCAATCAAGAGACTTGAGAGAATCTTGCCAGAACTGGCAGTCTTGGTGTACTCTCGTAATCACTGGAGCAGCTATTCTTGAATCCGACGGATTAACGCTGGCAGGACAGAATAGAGGACAGTTAGACTTAGATGCTAGGAACCAGTGACGCAACGCTTGCCATCGTATCCGCACTGTCCGCAGACATTCCCGACAGGAATCGGTCTCCCTAGGCACCTACAGACCTAGTGCATTGTCAACACGATTTGCTCGCCCCTTAGCCTACAAAACACCGCCACCAATATCACCATTGTCCTAGGCACTAAGGAAGTACCTGTCATCATGTAAAATATCACCATCATCCCCTCCCACCACTAGCATTGTAGGCTTACTCTCAGCCTGTCCCACTGCGACCGCACCAACATATCACACACTGACCTAGTCAGTCAGATGCACTGTAGTCGGTGGGTTAATGTCAGCATTCTCAACATAAACCCGTCACACCGATCCACACTCTCTAGGGGCATTTTATCATCGTACACGCCTATTCCGTCATATGCACCTCTACACAAATCTTCCACAAACACCGCATTCCAGACTTCAAAATTTCACTTCACCTACCTGGCCAAACACATCCCTGGGCCATATGCAAATTCCTTCCACAAAACGCGTCACACCTTGTAACGGGCACACCCCTCTCCGACGGCAGACACGTGATCCTCTTCGTCGTCGATAGTGCGACTGGGGCATCGCAATATACCAGGACATGCACTCCTTACGTAAGCGTGTCCATACACAAAGTGGCGACCAGGTCGTGGCTGCCATACGCAGACGCGCTGTCTAGCTCTGTCAATCACTGCGCCCAACTGTACCGTCAGTTTGCAGAAGCTGAGTGAGTTGCTCGGTTCAAGGGTTAGAACATAACGAGTAATGACGGCCCTGTAGAATCCAACCCCATGGCAAATCATCGCAGGCCTCACTATAGTAAATCTGACGTGCCTGAACCTCTTAACTCGCGATAAAAGTCGTGGCTTGGAAAGTTGCCAACCGAGGAGGTAAGTAGATCCGCCATGAAAAATTTCGAATAACTGGAGAATTAAAAGTCAGACTGTAGTGACTCCTGCATAATTTGGTTCTTATGATAATCGGACGCATGTAAGAACTGAGTCGCCGTCGCGCAAACCCGGTATATTTCTTAAATTCCGGGTTACCTGTGGCGCGCGGATACGGACTTTCTAACTTTGCCATCTAATGCAGCGGACGGCGAGGTTTGGTCCTGCAGCCCCGACTGAGTGATACCATATGGTGAGCCTTTCCAAAAACATTTGGTAGATGTGGATACGCGGACTCTACAAATATCACGTATTTGCGACTTCCTTACCATTTGAATCCAGCAAGTGTCTGTGTCACGGGAAAGAGTGCTAAAATACCAGCCTCGGTTACTTCAGATATCAGTTCACATGCGTCTCCTATGTGCGTACTCCATATCCCGCTTGCGTCCTCTTTATTATCCTAACCCAGCGAGTGTTCAAGTGGGCTTGCTAATGGAACTGTTCCGACGGTGTGGAACTCCGTCGGTTCCACCAAAGTGGCCACGTACTGCGAATTGCCTCGCGGTTGCCCCCAGTGACCTTCCTGTTGGGATTGCATCGCTCCTTATATTCGTAATTCAGCGAGTGACTGTGCCGTGAGAGTTTGTACCTGCCACCTTCGCTCGCTTTCCTGCGCGTGCTTCGAGCTCTGCGAGCTCTCTCTTCCCCCACCTTATCCAGCGAGTGGCTAAGTTTGGTATGTTAACTAAAGCTGATTTGGGACTGTAGTAAGGCTGTAGAACCAAATCTTGCCCGCCAGACCTACACTCAGATCTTCTCAAAATCTTTGTATCATCAGAGCTTGGTAGGTGAGGAGGGAGAGAATGCGGTAGATATCGTGTTAGTCTGCCTCAGTATAAACTAATTCACATGCAAACCACCGTCGTGCGGCCGCCAGGGGGTGGGACACATGCAGCATGTCGTCGCTCGTGACAACTCGTCTGTCAGTTTACGCATGTCACAGTAGAGTGGGCAAGTTGTGCGTAAATAGAAGAGTATTCTCGGTTTTTTAACGGAAATATCACTCGACTATCAGTCACATGAGACAAACAGCCCAGAAGATAATAAATAACTTCGAACGTCACCTGCGATGATAAACTTTTGATGAACACTTAATATTTTGTGTGAATTATCTTACAAGCTGGACCTGACGACTCTTTCGTTTGTACAATGTGTGCAAACTCATGAAATGCTAACCGAAATTCTGAAATGCGTTTTCGACTTGAAAAGATTTCTTAAGTAGTGTTGTTAAATTAATCATCACGCACCATAATTCCACAATAACTCAGCCACCTCTGGATGCCAGCTTTAGAAGGAAATATCCGGCCGCATGAACAAACCACAATCTGCGGAAAATTATTACTTAACGAGCACGAATGTTTTCATTGATTTTCGATAGCTGTATGAATTCCATTATATTTAGTAAAAAACATACATGACAATATTAATTATTTCACTTATTTGGTAGAAGATTACGTCTTCTTCCGATTTTATACTCAAAGGAAGCGTATAATGCAGTTTTAAATGTTTTTTGATACCATGAAACGTCCGCGCCTAAAAACATCTTACGTCTACATGTACTAATGTGGTTTGTTAAGTTTACAATATGGCTGAAATCCACTGCCGAATTTTATGAATCCCATATGGTTTCCTCTCAATACCGTAGATAAATGTGTGGATTTCCGTACACGAAAAATAGACGGCTTGTAGTTTGGAAACCCTGGATGCAAGTGTAATGGCAGGTCTGGTTCAAAATTAGTTGGGAATTGGAAAGGTTTTTTAAAGAACAAATTACACTTTTCGTTTGAGTAGAATATCGGAAGAAGACGTAATGTTCTACCAAATAAGTAAAGGCATTAATATTTTATGCATTTCTTTTACTAAATTTAATTGAATCCATACAGTTATCGAAAATAAACGAAAACATTCGTGCTCCTTAAGTAATAATTTTCCACAGATTGTGGATTGTTCATGCGGCCGGATAGAAGTTCCTTCTAAAGCTGGCATCCAGAGGTGACTGAATTATTGTGGAATTATGGTGCGTGATGATTAATTCAACAACACTACTTAAGAAATCTGTTCGAGTCGAAAACGCATTTCAGAATTTCGGCTAACAATCCAGGAGTTAGCACACCTACTGTACGTACAAACACTTGAGCGCAAGGCAGTGAACAAATCTGGCGGTATGATCGGCTGTTTTCCAAAACATCAGGTTCTCGCCTCTTCATATTTTAGCAAGGTTTTGTTAACATATTTAGCAACAGTTAATCCGTTCTGAGCTAAACCAAGAGCAGCATAAATCAGGACAAATTGGTCATACGGTCCCCTCAGCAAAGTACATGATAAAGTCAAATTATACATGGCGGAAGATAACACTGATGTTAAGTCAGTTAACATTCGGGTTTCCATGTTTAAATATTCAAAACAAGTCCATCACTCTCATTGTATACAATAACTAATGTCGGAACCCTGTTCGTGATAGAATTAGCCACCACATCCCAATATTTCTCTTCTCAACCCATTCGTGATCCCGAAAGGCTGGACTAAAGTAGCTAAAGGTCAGGCAAAGCGGACTTATAAGTGAATTTTTCATTGGTAAAACTTCAGCTTAGCAATGGTTCGCAAAAGGGAAGAGTTAAATTTTGGTAAGCAGTCAGGGGATCAAAATATTTGCCATGTAAAGCATGATCATTTCCTAGTCTTAACTTATTTAAGACGAATGCTGCTAATGTTATCTATTGTTTCCGGTGGTAATGTCGGTTCCTTTGGCCCAAATAATAAGTTTAAATTTCTGCAAGAACAAACGTTACCAGTCCTTCGAAAATTACCGTCAAATAAGGCTTAGACTTGTCAAAACAACTTACATTCACATAAGTCGGCATTTTGTGCGCTTTCTTCATCCACTCTAGTGCTGCTGCATGGTCGCCGATAGTATCGTAGGCGTTACCAAGGAGGTAACAGGCCCGACAAAGTTGAACCCAGTCGCAGTGTTCCTCGCAAATATCCGCAAACATTTTCAAATACCTAATCGCCTCCTCCATGTTGTTTTGTCTAAAAATCATCCAGTTAGATCGTGTTCTTTAACCTTCAAATAATGGGATGCAAATCTATCTCGGCAGGCCATGCATTGAATGTAAAAAAAAGCATACAGTTGTCAGCATGTAACTTTCTGGTGAAACTCGTACTTGCGGAACAGCTTCGACAATGCTTCGCAGGCCCCTCCGAGATTAATGTAGTCATTAGCCTCTTTCGAAAGATCGAAGTATCCGCGGTAAAACTGGAGGATAGGGTTAGAAGGTTGAATAAATTAACAGGATTATTAACAGGACATAAAATCACTTGCGGCATTCAAGGTTTGGTCAGTCCTGCTGCATAGCAAATTCTAACAGCAGGGAGAGGACCCCAATTCATGATTAATGAATAAATGCAATGACAATGAGGACTTAGAGTACATGCCTCCATTGTATCATACGAAGACGGAAGCTGCCAACGAAATCTCAAAAATTCGAATGTTTGGTTTCTTCTCTTCCAGTCTGAAGCACAGACATTTGTACTGCATGCTTATCAAAGAGTGTGCTTTAACATTTCGATATTTACTTAAACTGAAAAGCCTGATGGCGAAAACGAATTTAAAATGTTTACCACCAACCTTCCTAGCAAATTCTTAAGCGGTTTTTACGGTCTTACACTGTCCAAAACGATTCACTCGGTGATTTTTTAGGTTATTATGGATATCGAACAAGTTTCCAGACTTCACTGTTAATGGTTGCAGTTTGAAGTAAACTGGCAAGAATAGGTGCGAAATGAGATGAAAACTACTGCAGACTTACTTTTGTTCCTTCAGCCGATCAGATTAGTGTTACCTTACTTATAAAGTAACGGAATGAGATAATTTTAGGGAAGTAAAGTTTGACATAACGGCTTAATTCTTTATTCATCCGGCCTGAGTGAATTCGTCAAAACTTATGCTAGGTTCTTTCCAATTGCTGTTGCACTTTTCCGCCAATTACGCTTACGCCAACCTACCAAAGTGGAAATTGATGACACTTCAAGATTAATTGTCTCCTCTCCCTCTTTAAGGCTCGGTGGATTGGTGATAACACCACAGGCTACTGTTTATTTCTGTCTAGGAGTGCCATGCGGGCACTAACGCCAGCTACTTTGGAAAATCTAATGACATAGATGAACTAATCCTGAAAATGTAACGCTTTCTATGTACTCCCTAAAGGGGATGTCGAGCTAGAAACAATGCCCCTCTTTCTTCACCAAATGTTTCTCTCTCCTTACGCTTATACGACCCATGTACATCTATTATTGCTGTGAAACTTAAAAATTTGGCTGTCTTGGAACATAGTTTTAGAGTTGGGTTCCCGGATACCTGCGAGCTGTCCGCGAGATATGTGGTTTTTAACGGCGGAAACAGTCGTATCGCGCTCACTCAGACGTACAAAGCTGTGGACTCTAAACAAAGCTTTGACAGTGGGTAAGGGCTCGCTGGAGCAGGCATTATAAACATCGGGTATTTTGGAGAGCTTTGTCGGTTGTCCATTGTTAAACCTTTTATTTCACAAAAAATTGAGGTGAAATTCTTATTGGTTGCGACCAGACAAACTCCAGGCATGTGCACTTAAGTAATTCATGTACACGCTTTGGGCAGTACTTTTGAAAGGCTTATTAATTTAAAAGTCTGAATGCCATTGAACGTCCATGTTTACCACATGCCCATCAGCACTTCGTAGCACAAAAGACAGCGGCCTACTAGCCCTCAAAAATAATGTTTCTTAAGAACGCTAGGGGTACTATTTGTTATAATCGAGTCGCGTTCCGCAAATATTCGGACTTCTGAGACCAAAAGATCGCGATTTGTTGGAGGCCATTCCTGCTATTCATTTGCGCACAGCACTGAACTTATGGAAACTCTTGATAAGTGCTGAGAAAATGTGCCCAACAAAATTCCTTTATTCATAGCTACCACTGTATGCAAAAAACGGCATGCCCCACCATTACTCTGATGCATCGACAAAGAAAAATTTTTGACCGTTGTTTGTGGTTCGAATTTCCAACTTGGTGCCCGACGCTCACTCATAATATTGTGATGAAAAGCTTTTTAAGCAGCGGCTTCAACGCTGGTTAGACATAGATAGTAAACCTGGAAGCCTAAGGAATATTTGTCGAAACCCTAATTAATATTTTAAGCAAACGTAGGCTCAAGTAAACTTTTCCATCCTTTCTAGTCATTTTCCTTATACGTAAAAATGCCATTTCCCATCCGGCATTTACTTTTCCTTCCAATACACGGCCAAAATTCTTTTTGCAGATTATTATGTAGGCGGGCATATTTGTGACCATTTATCTCCCAGATTTAAACAGAAAATGACGGAAACTCCTTAAAAGTCCTTTATTAGTAACTTCAGGCTACGAAGAGCCCCAAACTTTTACGCATGATTGTTCGCTTACCTTGTCTGGATGAGGCATTCCACAACTAAATAAACAGAGCGATCGTTGTGGCATTTAACCAGATGAATGGTCATATCTAGCTTCGCGTACTTTATCAAGATCCCCACAGCATTTCAGTAATATTGTAGTTAGCCCAAGGCAGAAATCGCGGCGTTAAAGTGCCGTATACTAAAAACAAGGTATTTCCCAGGATATACACAATGCAATATATTCACAATTCCCCCGAAAGCGGAAACAAACGGTCAACTGTATCGGAATCCTTGTAAATAATGAGAATCCGCAGCTTCTTTGTGTCAGGTTAGGCTGTAGATTTTTCTATTGATGCACTAGAAAGAATAATCACGCATGTGGGGTGCGAAACCTTTTCAGTTTGGAGGGACACAAAGTTTAAGAGATCTAGCGATCTAATTGCTCCAAGGACCAGGAGAAGCTGTCAGTGGAGTTTTGAAGACCTTCTCAAGTGCTTATCTACACGCCATGTCATCTCGTTGGCCAATAATATCCACAGGTATGGGACATCGTCGATGTCAGTTCTTTGGCACTGTTGGGAATGTTAGACTATGTGCGTGGAAGACGAGAGAATGCTAGAACTTTTCGGCTCCTATCGCCTTAAGAATTATTCTTCATCAAAACTACTAGGAATTCGAGTGTGACATTCTGCACTCTCTACCACAGCACCGCAAGAATCTACCACGTTATTGATTAAAGACAGCAAAGGGATTACGCGCGTGTTCTTTGCCTCATTAGTTCATTACTGCTGTCTCAAAAATGACGCCATATAATCCGAGGCAGTGGGGTGGATTTATTCCGAAATCTGCTTTGACACAGTCTATTAAGACATGTAGGTTGGTCATGGGTCTTTTTGGGTGTTCGCCACTGGAGAATGAATCGACATATTCAGGCCTACCGCCTTAGTGCTTGGAGAAGTACTGGCTGTGACTTCGTTGTAGCCAGCTGGATCGGCATGATCGTGGTCGTATAAAGTAAAACCAGTCTCTATAGCTTCACCCCCATATTTTAACGTATCTTTGGAAAGTTTAAAACTAGAAAAGACTGTAAGATCATAGTCTTCTCACTTGTATTCGCCACAATTTACAATGAACACAAAACGTCTGGCATATAACTTGTAACACTGTACGTTCTTCAACCATGTACCCTGTAAATTTAGGCCGTACTTTGGTTTGAGCAATTATACTCTCCTGTCGGTTAATGGAGTAAACATCAGAAATTTAAAGGAACCTTTATGTCAGAATATGCGATCTCGCTGATAATTTTTTCGATGTAACGCAAACAAGCTTCTGTGTACAGAATTATAAGGAATTTTTTCACTGCCGAACGTCAAACTCGATAACGAAGTTTCATAACGCAGACTAAGCTTCCGTCTCTACTACATATCTGAAGGTGGATTCAGGCCTCTACTAAGAACAGCTAGTGCAACAATCATTTTAAACGCAGAATGCCTAAATACAAAATGCAAGTAAGTATAAGACATATTGTATTCCTGCCACAGATGTCCAAAATACTTACTGTAATGGCCTCGCCAGACCTCCCGGCTTCTTCCAACAGCTGACCCATCTTCAAGCATGCAGGCGCTGTGAGACTCCAGTCACCGCCTCAGAGGAAAGGGGAAAACGAACATTTATATTTCTTTCTAAATGTTTGTGACAATTGCCTGCCCCTCTAAGACAACTATTTTGTATCCTTCCTTGTTAGAATAACAAATGAGTCACAACAAAGTCTGCAATTCCATCTATTATCTTTCCTGGACAACATGATGTTTGGGCCATGCCTAGGATCATGGTTTCCTCAAAAACGTTTTTAGGTATTGTATGATCTCTACGTTTAGTTCAACCGTTCCCTTCAGTTTAAAACAAACATCAGGCTTTGTGCATATTATTCTGGACTTACTTGCCAACGCAACTTCGTGTGCTTTAGTACAAAGGGCGATTTTCTCGCACATGAATTCCTTGCTTGTTTTGTCAACTAGTGCAAGATAGATGCGGACCAAACATCGGTCAGCGGCACTCCCCAGCAGTGTACCGTCCTCTTCTGTCCAGGGTTTGTATCGAGTGGCATTGTAGAATTCGATAAAATATCTACAAGCATTCTCAAGTTGCCCTTCGCAGAAAATAAAAACGCCGAATTATAAATTAATGAAATCTCACGGTCGCGATTGATTTTAAAATCTTCTGGTCTTAATTAACCCAATGGAAAAAGTGGTTGCTTTTGCGAATTTTGTAGTCGATGAATGTCTGGTGCAGTTTGCTGCGTTGTGTCCTAGTTCAGAAATTAAGTACGAACGCGTTTTAAGCTACATTTTTGCCCACACCCCTCCTTTGACATGACTTCTACAGGAGCTGGGAACTCTTAGGTGGAAGACTTCTCAAATTCAACTGCGTTCCTATGATATGTCTGCAAGAAAGCTGCCTGCATACTTTTAACCCATTCATTTCTGCTATTTTCTATTTTCGGTACGCAAGAAATCAGCAAGATTAAAGAAATAGTGACACAGGAAGAATGTTATTACTTGATTGCGTCAATGGCGAAGCGAGCTGAACTGTATTAACTGGCAATGCAGCAAATTGCGAGGAATTATATGGTACACTCCTCTTGGTACAATAAGTGCCGGGCACACTACAGAATGGCGCCCTAATGTTTAGTCAAAAAATCACCGAGCTAACAGCGCAGCAATTTAACAAATGGACGCAGAGAAGAAAAATAATGTGAGTTTACATACAAGCGGACTGATTTGGCAATATCCATCTCCTGATGGTGGACCGAAATACGGACAAATGACTGGCTAGAAATCGGATTTCATCTTTTTTTTCAGTGAAGAGTTGTCCATTATAGTAGGCAGATCCAGTCGAAGAGCCCCTGGAATGTCACAATTCCAATTCTTTAACTTACATATTTGACTATCGAGAATGCGTAGGTCATCAGCCAAGTACTCAGACCCCGTAAACTGAATAGTCTTTCACCTTGTTTAGTGCTCTCAGTATTAAGAGATTGATAATGGGGTTCGCCGGATGGAGGGGGGAGGCGAACGAAATGAAGGTCTAGTTAATACTTTCCGGACTCGGATTAACGTGACAGCTGTATAATTTCGTAAGATTTGGTTTTGAATAATATTTTTGAGTAGATGCCCGACTTCCTACTACTTTCGGATAATTTTTTCTTTCTTCGCCCAGGGATAAAATTAACTTTACTGTTGTCTTCGACGTTAACGTTAACGTGGCCTTGAATAAAAAGAATCCACAATACTAAGAATGAAAAAGACATTTAAATTTGTACTTTCCCGGAAGATCCTTCGTCTACACGCAAATCTAACCATAGACTGAGGGGGGAGGACATGCAGAATTCACATTTTGACCATGAGTACGACTGGGAATTTAATTAAGGTAACAGTCAAAAATAGAGCGTATCTTTAGCGACCGTTAACCTTTCTGTCCGTTGCTATTAAGTACAGCGCGAATATGTCGGATTTGTTTATTGTAAATTTCTATCCTTTCTCGATTCCTGGTTTAACATTTGATCGGCCTGCTTGATTGACAGAGACATACATATTTCTGAACGCAACGTTCGTCAAACTTTTTTTGTCAGTCAGCCTCTACCGTTTTCAGCTAATGTGTTTTACCCACCATAATCATCAGGCTTACCATTAAGCTGTTTATATATATTTTTTACAGTCCACATACGTTTCTCTATGCACCTCTGCACTTTCCTCTTCTAAATTTCCCTGCAGAATGCCGTTTTCTTTGAGATCCCATGAAGGGATTAGGGAACTAGAACTTTTTCGCTCCAACTTTGTGCAAGCGTGCTGACAAAGGAACTCGTAGTATGGGTTAACTTCTCGGGAGTCAGTTTGCTCTTGCTTGTTTTCTTCCAATCTGCCATGCAACTCTGCCTTACATAATAACCTAACTGGGATCGAGACCTTGGTACCTAAGCCAATATTCCAGACATTCATTTAAGATTTTGTGCTGTGATCTGAAGGCGGCAAGGCCGTTCAAATTTATTCTTCATGGGAGAAAGACAGGTTTGTCGCTTCAACCTAACATATATAGTAATTGATATAACTGATACAAGCGGCAAATGGGTTTGGAAGTATATAAACAAAGTGCCCCTAACCGTGGGCTAATTCTGTCTTGATGCAGAACTATTTAAATACTAAGAAGAAGAAAATTGGCTCTCCGGAACAGGTTTATTTAACTGCTGACGTTTCAAAGAGCTGGGTCGGCTCTTCATTGTCAAAGCGTAAACTGCACCTAATCGGTCAGAAAGTTAACTTAAAGTGGCAAGCTGTGTTGGCCGGCCTCATGCTGATCGATTTTTCTCTCTCCTCACGCTGCGTCGGCCTCTCAGGAAATGGTTGACGGGCGTTTTTGCCTGTGCACTTTATGAGTCACCACTCCGTCGAGGGGAGCTGATTGGACTTTAGTCGGGCGGTCGGTCTGACGGTTCTTGTTCTTCCTCACCGAGTAAGCTCAGCGTCGGGCTATCTCCGTGCTGTCTTCTTAAGTCCGGTGTGGTTGTTTGGTCCTGAGCTCTACGGTTGTGATGACGTAGGACTTTGTAAGCTGCAGGAAGGTCCAGATGCCTGTTGATAGAGTGGGCATCGGAGAACCACGCCTCTAGAGTTAGCCGTTCTGTTTTTGTGTTGCCTCGGCCTAAGATGGTAGCCCTCTGGAGGTCAAAAGTATGCCCCGTTTCCCCAACGTGTGTTGCTAGTTGAGAGTTAGGGTCTAACCTCCGAGTGGCCACTCGGAGGTTAGACCCTAACTCTCAACTAGCAACACACGTTGGGGAAACGGGGCATACTTTTGACCTCCAGAGGGCTACCATCTTAGGCCGAGGCAACACAAAAACAGAACGGCTAACTCTAGAGGCGTGGTTCTCCGATGCCCACTCTATCAACAGGCATCTGGACCTTCCTGCAGCTTACAAAGTCCTACGTCATCACAACCGTAGAGCTCAGGACCAAACAACCACACCGGACTTAAGAAGACAGCACGGAGATAGCCCGACGCTGAGCTTACTCGGTGAGGAAGAACAAGAACCGTCAGACCGACCGCCCGACTAAAGTCCAATCAGCTCCCCTCGACGGAGTGGTGACTCATAAAGTGCACAGGCAAAAACGCCCGTCAACCATTTCCTGAGAGGCCGACGCAGCGTGAGGAGAGAGAAAAATCGATCAGCATGAGGCCGGCCAACACAGCTTGCCACTTTAAGTTAACTTTCTGACCGATTAGGTGCAGTTTACGCTTTGACAATGAAGAGCCGACCCAGCTCTTTGAAACGTCAGCAGTTAAATAAACCTGTTCCGGAGAGCCAATTTTCTTCTTCTTATAATCTTCCCGGATCTCTAAACTTTTCCTATTTAAATACTCTTTCGTCCGTGTCACTTGGAAATTTGTTTCTTAATGTTATAAATGTTGCAGTGCTGGAAGCTAGGCACATAGCTGAAAAGTAAGCTCTTAAATATGTTCTCAGGAACCCTGGCCGAGCAGCTACTGTAGGAATCCTCCTGCAGGAAATGGTCTAGTTTTTCAGCTTAGACAGGCACGCCACCCTTCGCGAATCGCTATCATCCATTTGGTTAGTTGGGAAGGCTATGTCCGTTAAATAACATGAAAACTTTGTAAAGGATCTCCGAAAACTGTCACATATTAAGAGAGATGAATAAACGCCATATTAACTCGTAATCTGAGCTGCAGACTTCTGAAAACTCCTCTTGCAGCTTCATCAATTAGGTTTTCTAGCAGCGAATGCGTACTTAGTTTACGCTTACCAAATGCTCCCAAAAAGTCTATTTTTAAATAAAATACGACTGTGGGCATAAGAACACGAAATTTGCAACTGGCTAGCTATCCAAAAGTACGGACTTAATGTCCTCGGAAGGGAAGTATGCGAAAAGCACCCATGAGCTCACAGCTACCAACATGGATACCTAGTTCTAAAGACTGAGGCGATAGGTGTGTCCACCTTGACTTCTGACGTTGCGAAAACGTATGAAAACATACAACGGCCGAAAGTACAGAAAGCACAGAGAGCATCTACAAAGGTATGCATAATTTATTACTCCTAAATAATTATAGAAATCCGTCAGTATTAAACCTCCTTCCTTCTCCTTAGGTAGAGAATGGACCAGGCTTTGTAATCCGTGTCTAAATATTGGGGCCGATGAAAGTTTCAAGTGACAATCTGTCTTTCGAATTCAACATACCTGACACTCATTTAAATGATCTTATAACATTCTGAAAATCAGTTAATAATTTATTTGGCTGCTCAAATATTCCCTGGTTGTCTCTGACGGATTTTGGCATTTTTGTAGTAGGATTCGGTAATAAACAGGCAAACTAATTAAGAAACTCTTGACTGCTTCTAACTAGTCTTTCAACAAGCTGCCATCAGTTGTGAGTTTTAATGTTAACGAGACTTTGGGCTTTAACTTCTTAGTTTTTATTTTTCTTTGTATAGTGAAAAAGAAAGACATTTAAGTCCGGAGTGTTTACGTTATGAAGCTGCCACCTTTAGTAACCTAACGATAAAAAATAAGTCTAGGCGTGCCTGACAAACTATGTCCACCGAACAGTATGCACGATAGCTTGAACAGCGGCCACAGGCCTAGTTTCTAACATAGAGTATTTACATCTGGAACTACGAAGTGTCGTTTTGCCCAGTTAATTGTATAGGTAGCAGAACCCAGCGGTGCGCACCAAAACCTTTAAGAAGTGGAACCTGCGTAATGCATCAATAACTGGAAAGATTTGTGAAACCCGAATGAGGCTACGGTAACCGTTTCTGGCTCTATCGCATTGTTGAAACCGATGCACCCTTAATTCGGGTCAGATAATCTGAAACTAAGACATTCCTCCATTTCACCATCGAGTGACCGGCTCATATTTTTGACTGCAATTTGTAATGGTCGTCGCTACGTCAGGGAGTAATCCAGTAACAATTTAAGCTTGCGAAGGAAACCTGTTGTTCCATCAGGCCACGTGGCCCATATCTGAATTCCTGGCAAACAGTCATCTCGTAGTAAGCTGATAACGATCGCGGGACGCTTGCTTGAAGAGGGGAGATTAAACATTTTGTGGCTACCCCACTTACCGTGAGTCAAACACCAACTTCGGTTGACATGCTTTTAATGGATTTGTTGATCATTTTGACAAGTTTATTTTAAGCTATCACCTATCCACTAACAAAACCATTCGCAGAGGAAAGTAAAGTTGATAATTTATCTACTACACAAGCTAACCAACATGCTTTTAGACACAGAGCAGAACCTAACGGGTGTTTTTTAACCTTTATTAAGCTTTGAAAGCCCGATTCTCCTTTTTTCTTCCCTTGCGTCTTTACGGCTGTGACCGATCACCGCTTTCTTAACTAAGAAAGGCCATGACTGTGTTTGAAGTACAAAAAGACTTTTCACATAAAGTACAGTGTGGAACAGTGTCACTGACATCTTATGTGTAAATCACACTTACAATGCTAAAAGTTGTACACTCAGATACCGTATTTTTCATTCAACCGACTTTATATATGGGCAGCAGAAATGTGAGTTCCATGGTTTGAACCCCTACTGTATATTACAAAATTTGTTTATGTCTCCAATCTTTCTGGCTCTCTTTTTATTTTAAACTTAGTCATCCCAATAACAAGACGCTGGACATTCCCAGAAAGTTTACTTCTTCTTCTTTATGCAGATCGTATTTACTTTTTTCGCTCATTTATTATAACATCACAATACTGTACGGCCATAGTCTATCCTGTCAGATCTTTCCGTCGTAACGGAGACAGACGAAATCGAACTACTACAAATAGGCACTTTAGTTTCACTTTATTGACTAGGTTCAAAACATTCCTTGGGATAAGTAAAACGTCATCGTAAGCAATAAAACTGACAATTTCACATATTTGCACAGACGCATCAAGGGCAATTGGAAATTCTTTCGGCAAATGAAGCGTTGTTTAATGTGCGCGTAATTCGCATCAGGTGAAACAAATGAAGCTCTTCGCGGTATATTTCATGCACCTCGTGAGCAACTGCGTATAAGTCTGCTTAACTTTATCCGTCACAGACCGGCTGACGTTTATAGACTTGGATTGAAACATATAGCTTGAAACTCTGATTGAAGCACACACCGTGATATTTTGCATACGAGCCATTTAGGCCGATAGTAATAAGTAAACTCCAACTAATAACTCTCAGCTTACCCTGTGCCTCCTTTGCTAATCCGTAGTACTGGTAGGCTCTCGCCAGCTTTAATCCGCCATCGTCCTTAATGCGCCTTGCTACGATCAGAGCATAATGGAAGAAGTGTTCCGTTAGCCAGAGATCGTCGGGGAAGTCACGGAAGTAGAGGGCTATTTTGACATAACACGAGTACACAGTGTGATCGTCCCGTCTGCGAGCAGCAGCTTCTGCTTTTGCGAGGTAATCACGCAACAAGTGCACTTTTTCTGATTGCTCGGAAATGGGTGGGATCGTCCACAACACTGATTCAGGGCCCGCAATGCGACGTTGTTCCATTTGCTTCACGTGGACTTGGAACAGCTCCGTGAATGCATAGTGGTAGCCATTTTCCAACAGATCATGGCAGAGTGTTTCGTAGAATGGAAGCTGGAACCTGCAGAGGAGAATACCGGCTAATAGAGTTCCTTACGGTATACTGGTGTCGAATTTACAAAATATCAGATTTCAAGAACAATTATCGAAATAGGCTGGAGGAGATATGCGCCTTCCATCCTCAGCACTACGCAATACACATAAACTCTTCGTGAATTCCAGTCGTGTTTTTAAACACCGTTCTATTATTTTTCCGGGAGGAATCCCATGGTCTTCCAAAAGGATGTGATTTTTAGAAAATTTGCATAAAATCTAAAATAGCAACAATGACTGAATGCTGGTTGGACAACTGTGAGGCAATTTAAACCTTTTCGAAAAGGTGATACATCGGCCATATTTTATATTTTGTTCCGAGATGCGCAATAGCCGTGAATAACTACTAGCATTAATATGTCGATGTAAGTCATGGGGAATTTTCCATGCTTCCTCAACCGGTGGTTTATGTTTCAAATTAATCTGCAGATTCGGTATTGCCGGCTGTTTCTGGAGACATAAAACAATTTTTACATCCATCAATTATCCTCAAAATTTAAATAGAATTACGGAGGACACCTAAAGAACGACGGTAATTTGAAGTAAACTCCTCTCTCTTCTATCGATATTCTCCCGGCTTAATCATTTCTGAAACTGCATGTCTTGTTTTTATGGCCAATTTAAGACCTTTATACGGGTTCGACTCTCAATACATTTGGCCTAAGACAATAACTACATTCGCTGCATTTATGGAAGCAAATTTCTCTATTATCGTCACAAAAGTCAGAAAAATGTTTTGTTATGCAGTATGGACCTTTGCAGTTTGAAACACTTTAGAATTCATCACATGTGCATACTTAAAACGGCGTCCTTAATTCTACTTCCGTTGTATGAAATAATGCTGGAGACGCCGTTCAATCTATATTGGATTTGACTTTCCTTTGGTTCACCTAGATTTTTACTGCTTATTGAATTATAGAAGGCATGCAGTTCCTAAGGGGATAATGAAAGAAAAATGACAGAACAGATGTAAAAAGCCTTAGTTCTCACAAACTACGAGTTCATGCTATGAGGAAGTCTGCAGACTTCATGAACAATAATTTTCCTTCTTCATTTGCTCGCCAGTCAGTTATTAAACTTAACAGTTTAAAATTTGTCTCGAGGAGTCAGAGTGGCTCAGTCACAATTGGCATCATGTGCGATTTTAGTTTCTATTTGCATAGTAGTTCAAATCTTTAATACTGTCAAATAACTACGTACTCTTTAGGGGGAGGAGGAAGTTACACCGGGAAGTTATTTACCTTTGCCGTTTTGGGTGGGTTTTGGTGCATGACAAACTCTTGTATCTTTTCCCACTTACTCTGCTTTCTACTTGTACCATTTGGCACAAGTAGAACGCAATATGGAAAACTTTCCAGTACTAATCGGTAGAGGTTTTTGGTCTTTGGACAGCGGACGCCTCACCGGCTGCAATTTCAAAATTGTTGGAGTCGGAAGGTGTGATGCCATTGTGCTGTTTTAAACCTAGTTTACTTGTGGACTATAAAAATTGTTTTGACTTGTTTAAACTAGTTTTTTCATAAGGCAACAGATGTGTGATTCACAATGATATTGCGTCAACTCAGTTGGGCAAACTTATGGCGAAATTAACCGAGTAAGTGCAGGCCGACGGTTAACGACTACTATTCAGTCGCTGTCAGTTTTCAAAGTTAGAACTTCTTCTGTTGCCAACTATGTAATTCAATGGTCAAGTTGTTTGTGGTTGCCGAGGGAAGCACTATGAAGCTTCAAGAAAAGCTGGAAAGGGACAAAAACTAACGTGCGAAACTGTGTCATAGTTACTATAGCCCGATTCCTTCCAGAAAAAACAACCGAAACCAATAATTCTTAATCTGCGTAAGGGCTTAACAGGTTTACTTGATCGCAGCCGGTGTTCTCACAGTGTCTAAAGTGCAGTACAGTGTCGGGATGTGCTCAATCACAAAAATTGAGCATGCGCTGTCTTGGTTTTCGAGTGGGCACTGGTGGCCTTGCCCCAAATCCGGGAGTTAAGATTAATGTTGAGGTTAGGGCTAGGATGGCCCGGATTAAGGTTGAGGTTAGAGTTAGGGTTAGGATACGGAAATAGGAACACCCCTGGAATTTGGCGCGGGGCCACTTATAGCAATGCATAGTCCATATTTCCGTGTCCGACTGTTCCTAATGCGTCTACGATGCCATTAATGCTCGTTTGCTTATCCGATTGGAAGCTCACTAGTGAGAAGGGGGTTTATCGATTTTGCGTCCTGTCCGGTAAGCTGGCATATAGTAGTGCATGAAGATATAGCATTATTGGTCTGAGTGGACGCAATTCCAAGTGTCCGGCCGTTCTAAGAACCGTAGATAAGCTCTTGCGTTTAATTAAAACCATTAACGGGGAAAAAGCCACCCGTCCAGGAAGACCGTGGTTGTTATTCTCCAAATGGCCGAGAACTTAATTCGCTTTCTGTGGATGGGCACAGGAAAGTATTGAAGCTCAAAAACAGACCCATTGGAATTCTCGTTATCTTCGCGTACTGGCACGTATTGAAGTACAAGTATTATGTGTGTGGCAGTTTTAAAGGTGTTGATCAGCACTTTATAACCCCTATTGCTAACCCAGTCAGATCACAGTCTTTAAGGTTTAACAACCTTTGAATATGTATCTCTCCCAAAGGTCTCATTTCCCAAAATATTTTATGGATAAAGGCACTATACTATGGCTCTCTGTTAAAGTGAACGATGCGGCGGGTTCAAGGCATAATATCCGTCAAAGTTCAGATATAAGAAATAAAATTTCTGGTCAAGAACTGGGGACCACTAAGTACATTAGTCATACAGCATCTTCATTAAGACATGGGCCCAAAAACACCTCATATCTTTCGGGTTTCTATACAAATGTGTTCGTGTCAATTGGTCCAACATTATTGTAGTTAATCAGTCCATGCGAGCTAATTGTGAGAGGTTCGGTCTTTAAGGCCCACGTGTCTTCTGTCAGAGCTGTCTGGTATTCTGTGCGAGACACAAGATTTATCTAAGCGAAAACTCTATAAGTAAGGCGTACGTGTGGTCTCGATCAGAATTCCCACAGATACCGTACGTGCAGAGTTGGATTTCAGGGTGTCATGCACAAAACTGAGGCTATTTGGTGCAGATAGTTCGTTAATGCCACCAAATACAGAGAAAACTGAAATAGAAGTATTCTCCGTCGCACTCTTTTACCTGTCCTGTTCCTTACCGCCAACGACTCCGGCATCCGAGTTAAGCTGAAGAGGAGTATGGAGTGGCGTCTACAGAAGGCGTGCACTTGGTTGGCTAAGGACCAGCGTTTACTTGCTCTTGTGTTTTGAGGCTCATCGAAACACGTATTTAATGACCCTTAATGCACAAACAGTGGAACGGCATTACGACATTCGCCAAGCATGCCACGAGTAGTTTGCTTCGTTGTACTACACAGCGCAATACCCTGGTCAGCCCTTACACCCGTAAACTGATAGCGAACTGTTGCATATTTTCGGCTATTCGAAAAAGGGAGCTTATTTAATGGAGTTTTCTAGCACCTGGCATCATAGGCATTGACATCATCACAAGGAGTGTTAACAAATCATTCTACAAGGTCACGTGTTTTCGAAACTCCATGGGTTGCAGTCTCATACACTTTCAGGGACGGAGCTATCTGCTATAGGTTGGAGTTTTTGCAAAGTACCACTGTGCTTTTTATGCTGCGCAAACAAGGAACTGAGGCAGCGGACAACCCTCTGTCTTTGGATTAATCAAATGCGTACTCGGGGTATGTTATCACTGCCTTATAAAGTGTTTGTTCAAAAGAATACTTGGCGAGTCAACGCGTTTTTCGATAAATTCTCATCGGGTATGTACATTTATATGGGAACGAGGTACAAACAGAAAGGTGTGAGCGATAAGTGAGAACTGTGTTGAGAGAACGGAATATCCAAGTCATTATAAATGAACGCTGCGACGTAGTCCTATAGTTACTACCTCGATAACCTGGAGAAGATACGCTGAAAATCAAGTCGAAAGCACAAGCGTAAACATGGATGAACTAGAAAGTCACGTTTGTCAATAGGCAGCCGTTCTTGACATCCCGACAGAAAATAAAAGACTGGAATTAACCAACTATACCGAGTCTATAGGAAGACAACAGGGCGACGCAAAAGGTATCTTCACTCCTGCATCGGAAACATGAAATGAGCCAACAGTCAGGGTTTCCAAAAGACACAGATCGGTAGGTACATAAGTATTTGTCTATGACCCTCGATAAAACATCAATTGAAGCATTGTCTCTTGGTCATAAGTTCTATATACCTCGTCGAAAAGACAATCAGGTAGACTAAGGAACACAATTCGCGAATCTTTAAGTCAGTCACATGATCAAAGCCCCTTTCTACAGACAGCGTTCAGCGCTTGAATCAAACTCTAATGAATTTCAGTTATCAATATCTGAACAAAAACGCAAAATGTCTGACACTTCTGACAGAATCTCTTACAGAAGTTAAAGCAGCTGAGAGAAAACAGATATATTTTGGTACCTAGACCGGATCAAGGAACAGGCGTGGTTATAATGAATAGATCGGATTACGTGGCGAATATATGGTCCATATAGTTAGACCCGGGAAGACGGGTTGCCCGTTAACCTACTGGACACCCGGAGGGTCCGCAGGTGGCGGATAGTGGGACGACCTTCAGTGAAGGTAAACTGTGAAATAAGCAGACCCAGGTCTGACGAATAAGCTGTCGCGGACCAGCAGCGACATTGCTACCAGGGTGCGGTGGGTTGAGGTCTGGAACGCTGAAAGCCTTATCGAAAGCCGCAAAACCCAATAACGGCATTGTGAAAGGCGACCGTAAACCGCCATTAAATAAGTTTTCTTGTCACCGCTGCCTTGTGGTTA